TTTAAAAAAAATCACATGACTACTGCAGCACCGGTGACAGGACAAGCAGAACTGAATATTCATCTTGAAGACCCTGTTTCCACAAACACTGTCCGACGTGAGCTTCATTTTTTAAGAAGGTTGTACACAGAGAGAGTCGAGATAGCTACGAGCCGGATGGCTTGGGTTCTATTCCCGGCAGGGAAAATTTTTATTCTCCATAGCGTCCAGACCGACTCGGGCCCACCCAGCGTCCTGTCCGATGGCTACGGGGGATAAAGCGGCTGGGACGTGGAGCTCACCATCTCCATCCAGTGCTGAGGTCAAGAAAGGTGGAGCTATACGTCCGCTCCCCTATACACCTTGATGGCGTAATGCTTAATACAACTTTACCTTTTAGGCTGTACACTTTGAACCACTGTGTGCTCAAGTGCAATTCTGTCAGTGATTTACTGACTTGAAGTGACTGGTTAAATGTGGCTTACAGTGACTAAATGAATGAAAACTGTTGAATCAATTAGTGTTTTCTTTTTAGATTGACTTGGTGGGTGAGGTCGTCGTGTTCGATTCAGCCTGCTTTTCCCCCACTTGTACCATGTATAGCTTTTGTGTAATTTTCTCAGTTCCTATATTCTTTCATCTCTTTCCGGTCCAATTGATTTTTGCTGTTATTTGTTTTGAAACACACCAAACATATTGTATGGTCTACGCGCTTAAAGACACCCAGATTAGACAACATTTGAAACTGTTCTTTAGTCTTCATGTTTACTCCAATTTAACAGAACTTAAGTAACTCGTTGCCAGTCACGGTAGAAGAGCGGTCTAAGGCATGTACTGTCTTCGCTCGCTTGGAAACCGGGACCGTGGGTTCGGATCTGTTTCCTGTGAAGTACGAACTGAATTCTTATATATTATTCTTATACACTGCCGGTCACAGTAGCCGAGCGGTCTGAGGCATGTACTGTCTTCTCTCTCTAGGAAGCCGGGATCATGGGTTCGAATCCCACTCAGGACATGGATGTTTGTGTGCGTTTTTCTTTGTTTGTGTACAGGTAGAGGCCTTGCGACGAGCTGATCACCCGCCCAAGGAGTCCTACCGAATGTGTAAGATCTAGAAAAACCGAAGTGAATGGAGAAGTTCATGGAGGTAGGCCTAGGCCCACTGGGGCTGCAGTGCCAAGGAAAGAAGAAAGAAGTAGCTGGTTAGGGCTCGTTCTATGTAAACCTAAAGAACAGACGTGTGAAAGTGTACATGGATTTAATCCGCGTTAATTTTATGGCTGCTGTTGAGGTACAAACATGGAGCCGAAGTAGTCTTGAAGGGTGAAAGTGGTGCCGTTTCCTATAGCTCAGTCGTTGAGGGGAGAAGTGGGGGGGAGGTTGTCTTCTACGCAACAGTCAATATTTTTAAGAGACAAGAGGAAAGGGAAAGAACAAAGTCTTCAAGTGCTCCCTGAAGGTCAATTTCTCTCTCGTAACTGCTTTATATAAGTCAAGATAAGAGCACAAACTTTCTTGTTCGTTGCTTTTTTTCCTGCCATCTTGTCCCCCCCTTTTTTTTTCGTCTTTAATTTCTTCTGTATTATCCTTTTAATTTTTATGTATTATTTCTTGGTTCTTTCGTGCGGATGTCACAAAAAGAGACATTTCATTGCATTTACTTACTTACTCATGGAGCTGAGCCCTTCTTGAGGAGAAGCCAAATCTGCAGCTACTCAAGAATTTCCCAGCATTTTATGGAACCTGAAGGTTCATTACCGTGTTCACAAGAGCCCTCCACTGGTCCCTATCCTGAGACAGATCAATCCAATCCATCCCATCTCTCTAAGATCCATTTTAATATTGTCCACTCACCTACACCTTGGTCTTCCCTGTGGTCTCTTTCCTCCTGGCTTTCCCACCAATATCCTATATGCATTCCTCTTCGCCCCATTCGTGCTACATGGCCTACCCACTTCATCCTCCTTGACTTGGTCATTCTAATTATACTTGGAGAAGAGTGCAAGTTATGAAGCTCCTCATTATGCAGTTTTACTGTTATTACGGGATTGATATTTAAGTTTGTCACCCAGATACCTAGAATTTGGAGCCATTGGTACAATTTTTAGCTGACAGTTTAACTGAGATCGGCTATATCTCAGACGTATAATACATTTTGGGACGGAAAGTTTAAAGTAAGAGAGCTCTTGGTTGGGAGAACTAGATATAACCGGAATGACACTATTAACTCTGTGAACGGCAATATATTTTACAAACTACAAATTTCAACATTGAATATGTTTGTCATCTAACTGTCATTTAAGTTAGAACTTTTCTTTTTAATCCGCTTATTGGGTTGTGGGGTCCAACAGGGTCCAATCGGCACGGCGGCCACTGATTGACCTATTGTACCTGCCCCGGGTGATTATGAGGATGGAAAATTTGGTGGAATGAAAATTGGCAGGGCGAGCGAAGTACTCGGAGAAAACCCGCCACAGCGCCACTTTGTCCATTACAAATCCCTCTTGACCAAACCTGGGATCGAACCCGGGCTGCTGTGGTGGGAAGCCAGCGACTAACCGCTTGAGATATGGCGCGGCCAAGGAAACCTATAGGAAAGAATATTTGGAAGAACTAGGAATGGGTGTGAGGACAATATTAAAATGGATATTGAAAAAAATAGGACGAGGGATGTAGACAGGATTAATCTGATTCACGACAGAGACCAGGGTGTTGTGAAACTTTCGGGTTTCCTGGAATTCATTGGCTGGGCAGCTATTAGCGTCTAAAGAGAACGCAGTTCCTTGGATTTGCTTAGTTATGATAGGAATGTCTCTAAAATACAGTCCCCCTGAGTCATATAAATTTTATGTTTCGTTTTCAGTGCCCACTAAACTGTCGTCCCGTCAAGAAGCTGAAGGGAGGGTCCTGCCTTCGACGCCTGCCTCTTCCGATCGGTAAGTAACTGCTGAGGCTGTTGTCACATGTGGAGCATGCGCGAAATAGTGATCCTTGTATCCGATAAAGAGATCAGAGTTGCAGAACTTTACGTTTATACTCTTGTTTTATAACCGATCATTTATGAATCACGCATCTATGCAACTGTCAGCTGCTTAAGAAAACGGTGCTCCATGGAGTTAGAGTTTGTTTCCCATAATAATGAGTTTCCCAGTTTATTCTTTTCACGTAGACATGGGCAGGTGAGATAGGTGAGTTATTCGTGACGAATGATGTGATTGGTCGGTTGATTCTTGTATTATTTAACTACGTTTCTTCAACTGGGTACGTTATACAGTATCCAATAGTAGAATAATTTTGATTCAAGAATTGGAATGAACTTGGAATGGGTTGTGGTCAATTTTAAGGCACAGTTCTCGCATCTGACCGAATTTACAAGGGAGAGTTAGTAAATGGGTCCAAATGGATATAAAACTTAAAACATGTGATATTCGAAACTGTAAAAAAACATTAATATTTTGACATATCTTTCACCAACATTGATACACTTGTCCCGTCGCTTTAAGAGTGCGTCAAAAGTAGCATAGAAGTTTTTGGCTGTTGTGTCAGCCACTTTCTCACGCTGTCGGGCATTATCTACCCCTGTCGAACATCATTGGCCCAGCTGTAAACAGCTTTACGCGACAAACACTTTCCACCGTAAACAGGAAATGTTTTTAATATCCTCTGCATTGAGTAATTTTCCCACAGAAAGCTGCTCTTCGCTAGTACACTCCTCAAGCGTGGACGCCATTTTGACTACTGAAACCAGTATCTGAACATGCGCATGCGCGTCTGCTATCGACACTGTCATGTAGCTGGACAGTGCTGCTACCTAATGATACACATAGAAAACCAATTACATCCATTACAGTTGTTTTATTTCCGTTTGTGACTTATTTACTGACTCTCGCTCGTACATACGGAAACTACGAACAGCTTCATTCAGAACAGCTTATCTCCTTGCTGATATTTGAACACGGGATCTCTGGAACACGATGTATGTGCCCTAACCATTATACCGTGATGTATATTGAGTTTGGAATGACTTGCACACATGAAAAATACATTTGTATACAGATTTTGTTTTTGAGACTCATAAGTAAGAGATCTCTTATGGTGCTTAGGTAGTCTGTTTCTAGGTTTATGGGGATGTCAACTGTCTCAGGTCGCGTTTCATTGAGATCGCTTGGTAACAAACGCATGAACGTTCATACCGTCACTACAAAAACGATCATTACTGATCATCTGAATGCGCGATGAAGACCTTACATTAGGAAGTGAGTTAGTCTGTTAATTTGTTTATTAGGAGATATTACTTACTGATGGAGCTGAGCCCTTCTGGAAGAGCTGCCAATTCTGCGTCTACTCAAGAATTTCCCAGCATTTTATGGAACCTGAAGGTTCTTTATCATGTTCACAAGAGCCCTCCACTGGTCCCTCTCATGAGCCAGATCAATCCAATCCATACCATCCCATTCTATCTAAGATCCATTTTAATACTGTCGCCTATACCTTGGTCTTCCCAGTGGTCTCTTTCCTTCTGACTTTCCCACTAATATCCTACATGCGTTCCTCTTCTCCCCCACTCGTGCTACATTCCCTACCTACCTCATCCTCCTTGACTTGAGCATTCTAATTATACTTGCAAAAGAGTACAAGTTATGAATTAGGAGATAGTATGCTTTTTTTTAATTCGCTTAGTGGGGGGTGGTGTCCAGCTGGGTCCACTCGGCACGGCGGCTACTGATTGGCCTATTGTAGCCTACCCCGAGTGATTATGATGATGGAGAATTTGGTGGAATGAAGATTGGCAGGGGAAACTGAAGTACTAGGAAAAAACCCGCCCCAGCTCCACTTTGTTCACCACAAAACCCACTTGACCAGACCCGGGATCGAACCCGGGCCGCCGCGGTGGGAAGACAGCGACTAACCGCTTGAGCAATGGCGCGGCCAGATATTAGGCTTACCTAATTAATGAAACTGTACAGTTCAACATGAACCCGTTGACCCCCCCGCAGACATGACACGTGTGCTCTCCCCACCACGGACTGACATGTAGACCTTCTCTATTGTTGAGTAGCTAATCCTTTGCTTCCTGGTCCATGACGATCTCACGACTGCTGATTAGAATAATGTGTGTTGGTAGGCCTGCTTCATCCTGCTAATTACGAAACGTCAGTTTGATTCAGAAAGAGTTTCGTCTTTTTTTTTTTATTTTGCTTCAATGGTTAACGTTCTCAATTATAAACGGATTACAATCCAATTTTAAACTCTGGTAGGTAAAGCGATTGAATTGCTGTGAAATGGGATGTTTGATTCGAATTGAAGTGTGCACTGGAACACGTAATATGGAAATCATACAATCTTTTAGCACCTCACCCCCATGGATTAAGATTTTATATTCCGCTGGTAATAAGGACATCATCGGGCACCAATATCTTCCTCCGACTTAGGGTAAAAGTAATGCAAAGTTGTCCCTGTGCTTAACTAATTAGGCGTATGGGGGAGTGGGTGTATACATATTTTCTTGACCTCGACAATAGCTGGAAGTGAGTAATCAGCTTCACGCCCCGATCGCTTTACCCCCGGTACCCATTGGATAGGAGGTTGGGTGGACCCCAGAGCTGGTCTGGACGACGTGAAAAACAAAATTCTTGAACTTACCGGGACTCGAACTCCGACCACTCTGCCGTGCAGCCCGTAGCCTGTCTCTATACCGACTGAGCTATCCCGGCTCCTCGTGACAAGCCAGTGTTGCGGTTAGCTCTCCGTATTTCGGGAGTCGGGTTTCGGGTTCAGACCCAGAGGTAGAATGATCAAATGAAGCTTTTCGTGAATTATCTTAGTCCCTCCAGGAAAGTGTTGGGATAATATTGAAAGTAGAATGCATCCGTTTTCTTCAGCCCTTCTAAGTTCATAATGCAGAAATTAAAATTCGTGTTACTTCTGTAATCACGAGATCTACCTCAAAAACTACGGTGTAGTGTAGAATACATAGAATTTTGAGCGGTCCGGGTTTAAACATTATCCCGGAAATGAGTTGTCTTGACAGGGTTTTCTTGGCTTCCCAAATTCCCTCTAGGCAAACTTAAAACTGTCCACGGCCACTTTCCTTCACATCCTGATTCATGATTTACAATTTCAGCTCTGTTTTGGTGAAGAAATCTATGATCGAGTTAAGAGGAAGTATTGTACAATATTCTGATAGAGTTTGGTGTACCCATTGAACTAGTTAGGCGCATTAAAATGTGTTTAAACGAAACTTCCAGTAAAGTCCGTGTAGGTAAATATTTGTCTGATAAATTTCCTATCCAGAATAGTCTAAAACGAGGAGATGCTTTATCGCTACTGCTTTTTATCTTTGCTTTAGAATATGTGATTAGGAAGGTCCAGGAAAATCAGGTGGGGCTAAAATTAAGTGGGACACTTCAGCTTTTGGTCTCTGCCGATGATGTGAATCTACTGGGTGATAATGTAGATACCATAAAGAAAAAGACACAAACTTTAATTGACGCAAGTAAAGAGGCTGGTCTAGAAGCAAACACAGAGAAAACTAAGTATATGTTGCTGTCTCGTCACCAAAATGCAGGGCAATATCATGACATGGAGATAGCTAACAGATCATTTAAAAATGGCACACAGCCCAAACGCTTGAGAACGACAGTAACATATCAAAATTTTATTCAGGAGGAAATTAAGAAGAGATTGAGTTCGGGTAATGCTTGCTACCATTCAGTCCAGAACCTTTTGTCTTCTCGTCTGCTTTCCAAAAACATAGAAATTAGAATATACAAAACTATAATTTTGCCTCTGGTTCTGTATGGGTGTGAAACTTGGTCTCCGACATTAAGGGAGGAACACAGACTGAGGGTGTTTGAGAACAGGGTGTTGAGGAGAATATTTGTACCGAAGAGAGATGAAGTGACAGGAGGTTGGAGAAAACTGCATAATGAGAAGCTTCATAACTTGTATTCTTCTCCAAGTATAATTAGAATGATCAAGTCAAGGAGGATGAGATATGCAGGGTATATAGCACGAATGGGGCAAGAGGAATGCATGTAGAATATTGGTGGGAAAGCCAGAAGGAAAGACCAAGACGTAGGAAGTTGTAGAGCATTAAAATGGATATTAGAGAAATATGATGGGATGGTATGGACTGGATTGATCTGGCTTAGGATAGGGACCAGTGGAGGGCTCTTATGAGCATAAAATGCTGGGAAGTTCTTGAGTAGTTGCACAACCCGCGACTTATCAAAAGGGCTCAGTTCCATGAAGTTAGTTTGTTAATTATTGGGGAAGATGTTATTCATCATATCAAAACTAATACCTTTTCGTAACTTATCGTCACGACATGCATTTCCAAGACAGACAAACAGACGGCTGTGTGACGGGGTTCCGGTGAAGGAAATTTGTTTCTTCGTCTTCGGCCAATATTCCAATTTGGTTTTGTTTTTAGTTAAAAAGTCTCATCTTTCAACCCCAAAAGTAAAATAATACTTGAAATAATGCGGGGATTTTGGTCCTGATAAGGGGCATGGAGGTGAACTTCCATGGAATAGATGTCTTATATAGAATTGAATGCCCTGTTTCACGACCCATCGGGAAAAGTTTCCGGTACCCAGTGAGTTGTTTAATTGAGTGGGGCCCACTGATACTCTGGACGCCGTGACGAAAACGAGAAAATTCCTGCCTTGCCGAGAATCGAACCCTGGCTGTGCACCTCGTAGGCCTTGACCGTACTGTGGGGTTACGGTTCCATTTACACAGAGGGTGCTGTCTGCTTGCGATGACTCCTGGCTTCGTGCTCTGCCACGCGTGAGATGAGAATTTTACTCCGGTTTTTAGTGCGGTTTGGGGCCAAGAAGGAGAAGATGGCTGTTTGAAACCGCAGAGTCAAAATAAAGAGCATGAACTAGGCCGTTTCTTTTTGTAGGCGAAGAGAACATGATTCAACAGA